AGGCCAAGAATCGGTGACCTGTTCATGAGAGAGAGAGACAGAGAGAGAGAGAGAGAGAGAGAGAGAGAGAGAGAGAGAGAGAGAGAGAGAGAGAGAGAGAGAGAGAGAGAGAGAACGTGTGTGAGAGTAAGGGAGAGATATAGTTTTGAGTAAAGAGAAGCACATTGACACAATAGCGATCATAAGAGAAAAAGCAAAACAGACAGAAACAACAGAGGGGGGCTCTCATGGTCTAGAGGTTACGGTGTTCGTCTCTCATTCAATAGGTCCCGGGTTCGAAACCTGACAGTGACGGGGAACATTTTCTTTCCCCTCCTTTCCCGCTCTTTAACCAAACTGTGGTCTTCCAGCCACACCCCTGTTCTTATGGTATGTAAAGTCTAACATCTAGTCTTCTCTGATAGTAGGGGCAAAACAATCTCGGAGGTCTCGTGTGCAAGTTGCGCACGTTAAAGATCCCTTGGTGCTCCTAGAATCAATAAGAGTAGGATTCGGCCGCCACCCGGGCAAACTTCAAAATTCCTACAAACTGAAAATGTTTAATGTGTGTCGATAGCTCATATGACCATACGTTGATGCGCGCGCCGTAAAACACTTACAAAAAAACAAACAAACAAACAAACAAAACAAAAGAATTAGATCGAGTTTAAAATGTTGCACACTGGGTTGCTTTTTCCCAAATTTTTGATTTATAAATGAACCTGTTTTGCAAGTAAAATTTGGGGCTTATTGTGTTCTCGTGACTCAAAAAATAATACAAGGTTTTCATCCAGAATAAAAACGAATCTTGTTGCCCCAAATTCATCTTAAGCGGGCCGTAAACTTCCCAGCACCCTCAGGTCACGAGACAGCTCTGTGTCGATCTCGTGACCGAAGCGCGACAGCACTGGAGGTGGGGGTGGGGGTGGGGGGAGCTTGTGTAGACCACCGCCATCCCCACAACCTGTTGTAACGTGTAATAAGTTAGCAGTAATATAATACTGTGTGGATGTATGGGTGCTTGTGCACAAGGGTATGTGAGCACTGGGTTGTGTGTGTGCGAGAGAGAGAGAGA